TAACTTAACCATTTCAATTGCGAATTTAACCGTCTGTGGTGATCCTGAATTTCAAATTCCTATAAACAATGACAATTTTATTAAATTTTATTATAATTAAAAGTAATTATTTTAATATAACATAAATTAAAATTTACAATATGAAATGTTTGTTCTCCACTATCATGTATAATTTCTTTTTTCTTTTTTCTATATGTATTAACTCCTTTTATTTCTTGTTTTTTTAGCATTAAAATGACGCAATTATCATGTAATCTATAATGACCAATAAGAACCGATGAATTGCGCGGAGTGCGATATTTTAAAGAATTTACACAACTTTGGGCCTCATCAGTTGAAGTTAGCATCAAAACTCTTCCTTCGGGAAAAAATCTATTTATCAAAGAATAATCAAAGAATAAGAATCTACAATTTTTATAATAAATATTTTATCAAATTATATTATTACATACCTCAGGTACCTGAAGTATTCCACCAGATGCCAAGGTCTATAAAATCGATCTTGGAAACTATTTTCACCATCACGAATGTAACTGGTTTTACTAATATAACATCCATTATATCTCAGTCTAGGCCGTTGCAAGTACATATCTCTCCATGATTGATATTTTGGAGCATAAGTTCCACAATTCACACCCCATACTCTATGCAATTTAATCGCTAATTAATAATTTGATTATTAACAAGATTTAATAAGAGATTTGAAATGATCTACCTAACACAAGCAAGTCTCCAGATTTCTGTATCTCTTGCAGATATATAAAATCCGCGACATACTCTAGAGAACATTTCAAGAGATCTTAAGTCAAGTTCTGATGATACAACCCATCTTAGAATATATAATACTATTTCCATAGGCAAGGCAGAAATATGTGTTGTCTGAAATAAGGAATGTCCTGAAATATTTATTATGATATTCGACGACAATAATATCTATATATATATTTAAATATACATTAAAATATTTTTATAAATTATTATATAATTTTATATATAAATACTTACAGTTTGTTCAAATTTAGGAAAACAAACGCATTTATTTTGATTTATGATTTTGCATAATTTAACATATAAATCACTTTCTTCTTCATCTTCTTCATTATGGTTTCCAACATTATCATCAATATTATTTATGTCATTATCAAATCCTTCATGACCATCATCATTTGTTTTTACTTTAGTTGATTCATATAAACGAAATTCAATATCAGGAACTAATAACACAGCACGTTTATAGAACTGAATTGCTTCATAAAATTTCCTTCTTTCCTCATATTCAATTCCTTTCAAAAATAAATTTTTTGCCTGAAATATTTATTTATGTTATATATATATATATATATATATATATATATATATATACACAAATATTTTTCAATGTGCATTGATTATTGATCATACCTTGCTTTCAATAGATTCTTCATCATTAGAAACATCAACTTTAACTGCTTTTGTGGATTGAGTTTTTGATCGATCCCGTTTTGGCGATATTTCTAATTCACGTTGCCATTGCTCTCTGAAAGATGTTAGAGCATCCTCAATGTTTGTTTCCGAAAAAGAAGATCCTTCTTGATCGTCTCCACCATCATCTGATTCACTGGATTCACTGGAGTGACTCTATTGGTTTTTTAATGAATTAATACATATGAATTATATCAAATTATAAATAAACAATATTTTAATAATAAAAATAAGAGTAAATTAATTGTATCAATTACTTTTTAAAAAAGTTTCTGAAAATGACGTTTTATTTTTCTGGTCCATTGAGGTTATATTGATATACATAACTTCTTACACGGTAACAATGAAAGGACAGTCATTGTTTTCAATATATTACGTACCATTTTTTTTCCTGTTTCAATTTCCACAGTATTATTCCTTCAACCTTTGAACTCTCGGTCAGAAAAGCGTACCACACAGCGAAAGTACAATCTCGCCAACAAGACCGCCGCCATGGTTCTCGCTTTTCTGCTTTGCGATTCAATTAAAGGTCATACCGGTAGCTATAGAATACATTCTTGTATATTTTCAGCTGATGCAATCCAGTTTCAATTATTACGAATTCAAAAAATGATGATTTTTCAGGAGATCGATGCCATATGTTACGCATAATTATAGTATTAAAATTACGTAAGTCAATTTTTTAATGCATATTTTACGTAAGCATACAATAAAAGATAAAACATTTTTCTAAATAATATCAAATATTATTATAAATATATTATAAATATATTATAAATATAAATATTATATTAATATATCAAATATAGATATTAAACAATATGTATAGCAATAATTAATCATATATATATATATATCTAATCTTCTTATATTTATTGAATTCAATTATTCATATTTTTATTATTAATTATTTTAGTTCTAAAAAAATTAAATTAAATTAAATTTTTTTAAACTAAAAATTTTTTAGAGAAAAGGATTATAAAATCATTGTAAAAAATTAATTTAATTAAGATACATTGATTATTCTTTAGTTTTTTTTTTAGCTTTACAGTTTTTTATTATATTAAAAATAATAATATAATTAATACTTCTTTTCCTTATTCATTTTCTAATACAGAAAAGATTTCAATATGAAATCAAATATTATTTCTATTCATCTCAAACTTGTAATATTTTCTTTTCTTATATATAAAAATAAATAAATAAAATATCAGAACATAATAAATATAAAATCTAAATTATTAATATTCAAAATAGTAATAATATTTATCTTTTAATTATAATAACATTTTATAATTAATAATATAAAACATTTTTTATATAAAAATACATATTCACTTCTTTTTATTATATATATCTTTTTTATTATATCTTTTATTATATAATTGCAAATATCCAATTGTTTAAATCATATTATATAGAATATTAATATATTCCGAAATACTTATGGAGGATCAATTTTAGATATCAAAGCAAATATTAGAGTTGGTATATTTAAATATTGATTGAGATTTATTTATTAAATTATAAGCAATCTAAGTTTGCGATAAGATGGAGATAGATAAAATGAAGAGATTGTTTTATTTCTATTACATTATTTTCGTCTTGCTTTGCATCTAATGCAAATCTAAATTTCTTAAAAAAATAATTTAATAATAAATAATTATAATAAATAATAAATAATAAATAAGTCTTAATTGAAATTTTGTATAACAATTTTTATATAAATTTATAAATTATATAATTTTATATAACAATTTTTGTGTTTATTTTGATCTCTAGAATCGTTTATCCAAATATATCTCATGTATATTTAAAATTTTGTCTTTAAAAATTCTAAATAAAATAAAGAATTAAAAAATTTAATTTAAAAATTACAATTTAAGAATTTTTATTTTTATAGATGCTGGAAGTTACTTCTACTTGAAATGGACAATGAGATTGATGATATAAGAAAAAAATAGATTCATTTCTGATAATTTTTCAATTATTGTTTTATTATCATATTTTTGAGACTTTTTATGTTACTATATTAATAATATTATCATATTAAAATATAGGTATAATATATATATATACATATATTTTACCACTTATTATATATTAATTTAATATAAATAATATATTATACTAATATAAAATTCATAATTTATGGCATAAATGAATTCAAAGAGATTTTGTAACTTAAAAAGATGAAAATTAAGAATAATTGTATAGAAGGCTTTATTTTCGAGTAAATGAAGTTTTTCAAATATAAATAAAATTAGTTAACTTTTATAACATGTGAATGAATTGTTTATAGAAATTATTCTAAATGTGAAAATATGCGAAAAATAAAGAAAACATGCTTTTTATTTAAAAATTAGTTTTTAGAAAATCGAATTTAAAAATTTATAAATATTATCTTAACTGTATAATGTTCAATCTTGATTTTCTCAAAAGGACTAGACAATAAAATTTTACATTTTTCGCTTGTTTTCATATTTAAAGTAATTATTTATCAATAATTAATACGTATCTAATTAGGAATTCAAATACAATTTTATTTGTATTTAAAATATTTTATTTAACTTGATTTAGTTAAATGCCTTAAATAAAAAAATTTATTTTATATTTATATTCTCTTTTATTATAATAATTCCTATATCACAAGATTCCAATATAATATCATAATTGTTATTATTTAAATTAAATTAATAAAAATATTATTTAAAATCTTAATTGATAATAAAATAAGAAATATATCATATCAAATACTATTACAAATTTGAATTTACAAAATAGAAATTCAAAATAGAATTATGTGATTAAAAGAGAATTTAATTACATAAATAACAAAAAAATATTTTTGTAATCATACATATTTTTAAAAAAATAACATATAGTTTTCATACATAATTAAATATAATTAACAAAATATAATTAATGTTTTTTTTAAATAAAAAAATAATTTTATAAACAATTGTTTTCTAATTTTTCCAAAATTATTACAAACATCTATTTCCTCTTATTTTTTCCTCTTATCGCAATTTTGTTTACGAATTGCATCGATATTTGGAAAATAGTGAAGGAAGTGATATGGCCTGTTTTTCATCTTATCCACGTGGATCATGGACCCCTCCTCTTCCACGGAACTATCACTATCTGAAAATCATCTTTCCGAGTAAAAGCAGCGTGCTAACCGAGTGCGGGCACAGACAACATCATGAGCTTGGTGAGTACGAAACTACTCATTCACTGTACATCTTTCTTTCAATAAGTTTTCTCTCTTTATTTCATTATCGTTCTCGTTTATCTCTGCTTATTCATTCTCGTGTACATTTTTTTCTTTTTGAATTACAATGGATTTTTAAACGAACTTTTAGTGACAGTGAATTAATCGTACATCTTAACGATAAGTGACAAGTGTCGATCGTTTTTCGAAAAAGCAAGTGAAAAGAAACTTCCACGATATTTCATTCGAGTAGTGTGCAGAAAAGAAAATTTCCATTTCTTGTTATTTAACGAATCTTCGGTATTTCGTTGATTCTGTCTTAAATCGACAAGGATTTGTTACATAGAATTGTTCGAGAATTATTCAGGATGATGAGAGTAAGTTTTATTTTCTTCTTATTTCTCTTTTATAATATTATTTTAAATTTAAGTTTAAATAGTTTTTAGAATTAAAAGAAATTTTTTTTATGTCATGATGCGTGTAAACTTGTCGACACGATGGCAATCGAAAGTTACTTATATCGTGCGACTCAATGCTGGAAAAATTTAGATTTCTAATTAGAAATTCCCGATGAGCATTCTGTGCAGCCGACTTTCTTCTTTCCTCTTTGTACGCCTCGTGATTCAAATATTCACAGATGTACACACGCCTCCTGCGTTTCTTACTGCACCAGTGTTTAATTCAAGTTGTTCTCGTTCAAAATCAATATAATTTTTCCTGATTAAATTATGAATTTCTCAAATTAAATTTTGAAAATCTAATTTGAATAAAAAGAATAATTTTAATTTTTCAAACAAGCTTTTAAAATATGTTTTATTTTTTATTAATTAAAATAATATTGTTTTAAATTTAATAAAATTTAATAAAATTAAATTTATATAGCCTCCATTTTCAAAAACTTTGCCATTTAAAAAGTTTTGCATTAAATAAGATAAAATTTAAAATTTTATTGATAATTCGGAAAAATACGAATATAAGAGTATGAATGAATATTATTTTATAAAAAAAAAAGTATGTATTTTAGAGTTAGAATTTATCAAAATTATGTGTTATTTGATTAATTCTTGACTATAAATTTTAATTTTAATAATTTTGATTTTGTATTAAAATTTTATGATAAATAAATCTAAAATTAAGCTAAAATGCAATTACGGAATGATTCAATACGTACTTTGAAAAGAGATTCAGGGGAAAAGAAATGAGAGGAAATTAATTAAATTATATATAAATTACATATAAAAAGAAATTTCGTACTTTTTATGTATAAAAAAAAAAGATTTCTCATTTATTTTAAAATGTTTAAAATTCATGAATTATATTAATGGTAATTTAATTGAGAGAAATTCTGTAAGTATTTTATTTCTCCAAAGAATTGAGAATGACATTTTATTCATTTTAAATTGATTAAAATTTGTTACGTGAAAGCATGAAGAATTAAATCTTTTAATTTATTTAAATTTATTTAAATTTCCACATATTAATTTATTAAGAGAACAGAAATCTGAATCTTATTTTATTTGACTTATATTCATCTTCATTTCTTTTCTTATATGTATTTTAAAGATTAACATATAAATTTGATGAATTCTAATATAAGAAATCTTTTGAATAAATTTTTTCTTGTTTATTATTAGTAACCTAAAGTTTATTATTAGTAATGTTTATTATTAGTAAATAAGACAATATTAATTAAATGAAACATTTCATATAGAATTGAATATTATTAATAAAATTTAAAAAATTATAAATATTCCCTTCTAAATTTTCTTATATAATATTATTAAAAAAAATGAAGTTTTACAAATCATAAATTATTTATTTAATATATCTTATTAGACATAGAAAAATATATATATATAATTATCTTATATATAATTATCTTATTTAATATATAACATAGAAGATATAACATAGAAAAATTTCGAAAGAAATCTATAACTTTTAACATATAACTTGTTAAATCGTTAATATTAATATTATTAATAAATTATTATGCAAGAAATCTTTTTTATAAATTAAAAACTCATTTTGTAAAGCTAATAAAACATTCGAAGATATCCTACAAACATTCATAAAACATTATTAATTGATAGATATTGAACATTTCTAAGATATTCATAAGATGTTTACATTAAAATATATACTCTAGTATATCTAATTAATTTATAAATCATTAGATAAAGATAACTAATTTCTATTAAAATATACGTTTACTTTTTCTATTATACATTCTGTTCGAAGTGTCTTTCAGTTTCTTATTAACTTTTAGTTTCACTGTCAAATGAGGTTTCTATGGCCAAGAACTTTCTTTCGATCATCACGCCGCTTTTCTCCAACTTTTTCCTACTTATCATTTTATTCTTATAATAACTATTGAAACATATCAAAATTTCATCTCGATAATTATTTTTTCCCAAAATTTATCTAAAATTTAACCTTTAATTAAAGAATAAACGATTTAATGAACATTTAGTGACAACTTGACAAAGTTTCGAATTTGTAGATATCTTTTTTGAGTTAAGATTTGTAAACACTTATTATTTTTTTATATTTCTACTTTTTTCTAAAGGAATTATTAAATGAAAAATGAAATAAATATTAATTAAAATATAAAAAAATTATTAATTAAAATCTTTATCACATTTATTAAACATATAAATTTAACATTATAAATTTTTCATATTTCAAATTTTTCAATTGTTATTTTTATTATTTTCTAAGTTTCATAATATAAAAAAATTATAATATTAATAGTAATATTTTTAGTTTTATACTTATTATAATGCTTAATTTTTTTATGATATAATAAAAATTTTTATTTTATTAATCTTTTATTCATCTGAAACAGTGTATTTTATTAATCTTTTATTAATCATGAAACAATGTAATATATTCATAAAATATTATTTCTTAATATTATTTCTTAATATTTTATGAATATATTACACTGTTTCATCAGATAATAATTTTCAATATTTTACAAAAAGAATATTATAATGATTTATCTAAATGAAAGAAAATTTAAATTTTATTTTAAAAAATATACTTATTTTTTATTTTTAAAAAATTAATTGATTGTCCATACTAAATTATTTATCTTATATTTTATCTTTTAATTTTTTAAAAGGAAAATTTATTAAGCGAAACATATTAATTTCTATTTCGAAGGTATTTCGCAAATTTTCAATTTGAACAACCGATTTATTATGTAGTACAAAGGCATGCAATATGATTAATTAAAATTGGAATTAATTTCACGCAGACTGACAGAAATGCGATATGGATTGAAATAAATAAAACGAACTTCATTTTGCAAGAAAAATTTGTGAATTTCGCATGAAGACGACTTTCGCGAAGTTAATGAGACATGAAACTCGAGATATAGATACTTATTATTTATTTATACGAATAATCTATACTTAAGAAGAAACTTAATACCGCGGTTATAGTTGGTTTTTCTTCTGTTATTTAGTTTCATTTATCGTTTTATTGGAAAATCTGTAAGAGCGTTTCATTTCTTTTGACCTTGATGATAGATCTATTTCAAGATAAAATGTTTTATTTTGAAAGTAGAATAGGAGAAAAGTGCATTTTTGAGGAAAGAAATTATTTAGAAAGGCGATATTCAGACAATCATTCCTTTCATTTATTTATGATTAAAATTTTTTTTAATCTTATATTTTAAAATTTTGTTTTTCTCAATATTGTAAAAAAAACTTTTAGAAAAAGGGTATGTTTGAACTAAAAATAATCTTGAAAACCAATATTTAATTTTTACTATATATAATTATAATATTATAATAATTGTTAAAAAATTTATTTAAATAAATTTATTTGAAAATTTCAAAGTTTCTATTGAAAGAAGTTTATCTAAAATGAAATGAAAAATTATGAAAAAATATAAGTACTTATATCTAAATGATTTAATTTTAACTCTATTTCTAATTCAAATATTTATTAAAAATAATAATCTCAACTTTTAAAATGAATATTTCTAATATTTGATATAATTTCCTAAATTCATTTTCCATTATTTTTAGCTATCTCATAAATTTCTTCCTTATATTATATAATTTTTTGTTTCAAAATGACTATTAAATTTTTAAATAATATTTTAACAAATATATCTTAAAAAATTGTTGAAAATTAACAACATTTTTCTAAATTTTAAAAAATACAAATCTTCGAAATAACTTGAAAAGTTTAATTAAAATTTTTATTTTATTATTTATCATTATTCATAATCACTTTTACTTTTTCACACCCAACAGAAGTACATAACAAACACTTACTATATACATTTTCTACTAAAAACATATTTTACTTATAGTTTCGTTCATTATTTAATAACAAACTATAAATTAACTACGTTTCTCCAACGAAAGACAGCATTCTTTTATACCACTCATTTTCACCGTCGACAAAAACAAATAGAGATGGATCGTTAACCTTTAAAAAATAAAATGTTTGTCCGTTAATCCACGCAGTTTCAACGCATAACATAACCACAAAGACTAAGTATACACTATCACATTGTCTCGAGTATAACCATATTGTAAGAGAAAGTAATTATTAAATGATTTATGAAAAATTTTGGGTGTGGATATACTACGCGTCTCGTTTGATCATGGGTTCGTTGAACTTTAAGCAGGTGGCATCTTTTTGATCCTGAGCGAGAAGAAAGTTTTTTCTCCAGCAAATGATGACGTGTGACCCAATCCGAAAGGGAGAGCAGTCTCCGATCATCAGATTAAAAATGTATTTAAGAAATCGTTACGAAACAATCGGCTACGGTTTACAAAATGAATAAATATTTATGAACAATTATTATAATTTAGGGAATTTTATTTTATAGAGTCTTCTATATCATAGTATTTTTAATACTATTATATAGAGACAAGAAATAAATTTTTAATGAGTATAATTTGATTAGTTTAGTAACACAAAAATGAATTTTCTTAATAATTTTATTCTTAATAAATCTTAATAATTTTATTCTTCAGATATACATATATTTCTATTATAGTGTTTTTAAAACTGTTTAAGATTAAGTATGTCAGTAGTAAAAAAAGATTATTTAATCTATAAGTTTATTAATTTAATGATATATCGAAGTATTTATATTTTATTACTGAGAAAATGAATCATATTCAAAAACCTAGAAAAAAATCTAGAAAATGAAAAAGATTTTGTAAAGAATAATTTTTAATTTTAATAAATAAATAAATTGACTTATTTAATAATATATCTTTTATGATTGAAATGTTTATATTTTATTTTTTATTCTACTTAACTGGAATATTAGCAACTATTATATTTTTATATATTATATTTTTTGATACGCTAAATTTTAAATAAGATTGTAATATCGCTACAA